ATAGACTCGGACTGCGCGCCACTCTTACACATCCAGAAGCTGATAGTGTCGGCCAACACGAGTGCACGACACGCGCCGATTGTGGTGACGGGTCGGGAAGGTGTGGGCAAAACCACACTTCTGTCGCAAGTGTTTACGTACGCCAATGAATGGCTGGTCGGCGGCGACGAAGTCATACGTATTGTGCGACACATCGGCCAAAGTCCCGGTTCCCGGTATATGTCGGAACTGTTGCGCAATCTATGTCTTCACATATCGTTGGTGTTTGGCTTCGAGGCCCAGACGACCATCAGCTATGAACTGTCGGCGCTCTCCATATGGTTTCAGGATTTGCTCAAAATGATCGAAACGACGGCCGAGAACTCGGATCTGATCATCATTTTGGATGACATGCACCTCTTGTGGTCGTCGCAAATGACCTCATTGTTGGGTTGGATGCCATTCAATCTGCCGCCAAATGTCCATCTCATCTGCTCTGTGGCCGAAACCGCTGACGACGTCCTATCGCTGTTGAAGTCACGCATAAGTGCCGATAATTTCATACGATTGGCGCCCATATCGTCGGCGACCAGTTTTGTGTCCACTCTTCAGTGCAAACTCAGGGACGGAAAGCACAGTCTGACTGCCCATCAGTGGTCTATTATTAGAGAGCGTTTCTCCAACTCGTGGTTCAATCAGATCTATTCGTCACCACTTTATGCCACTCTCTTGTCGTCGACACTGTTCTCCGACTGGGAGTCCTTCTACGAGCCGACCATAGCCTCCATTCCCAGTGATATCAGTGGTGTCGTCGCCCACACTCTCAGTGACTTAGAGGAGCGGTTCGGCTCGTCGTTGATCCGTAAGATCTGCTCCTATCTGTGTTGCACTCTATACGGTCTCCGAGAGGCCGAGATCTTTGATCTGGTCCTCAGCGACGACTCGGCCGAAGCCAACGCCAACACATGGCTGGCCATCAAAGAGCGGTTGAGTCCACTCTGGAAGCAATACTATGTTTTGGGCCGAAGTTATCTGAATTGGAAGAACCAATGCATCGGCGATACAATACGACACCGGTATCTGAAATTACCGCAAAAAGTCAAATCCATTCATCAGGAATTGGCCAACGCTTTCCTATCGGCATTCACTGAGGTATTCATTGCTTTCAATACTAATACCAATGCTTTCAAAGTTTTTATACATAAAAAGTGATCACTTTGTTAACAAGACTTTTACATAGAGTCGAAACGACCGGCAAATGCAAACTCTGTGTTCACATCACTATTATTTGATCGTTTGTGACAAACATATCGCACATAATGTCACATATTTTTGCTCTTTTAGTGCCTTTTTTATCGGAATTTATTTCTGTATTAAAAGTAATGTTTTTCTCAGTTTTCTTTTGTCAACGCGTTTTACTTAAAGCCAAATCAGTTTCTTATTTGTTATCAAAATTGTTTAAACTTTTTACCAATAATATTACAATTTAATAATAGAAAATAATTTATTATATTTGCTGTTTATATTATGTTAAAGAGTTTTGTATTATCCCATAGTATTAACACTTATTTTTCAAGTTTTTTTGCTTATTTAATATTGGGATAAAATTCAGCAAACATTAACACAATAGTGAAAACATTTGCGTAAATATCAATGGATATAACAAAGAGTTTATTGACAAATAAACGTAAACTTTTATTTATTTTTTAGTGTTTATCTTACGATATAATTCCAGTCCCATTACTACACAGCCATTCAAAATACAGTGCTTTCAATACAAATGATTTTACAGATAATAATATTTGTCACTAAATTTATTTGCATTTCTGTTAGCATTTGTTTACAATTCAAAGAATAAATGCAAAAAATATATTTCACTCAATTCTTGCGTGAATTCTATTTCCATTCAAAATAAAATTCTGATATATTTTTTTCTTCTGTAGGAATTGTCGATAAATTATACTTCATTTGAGAATTACATATACAGTATATGTGAAGTATTTTTATGTGGAAAAGTTTTTAGGACTGATTTTCCGAGAGTGGAAAATGAAAATAAATTGAATTTCATTCACGATTTTATAATGTTTTTTATGATGTATTTAGTTATCAAAAATTCAACAGTTTTTTATGTTTTATAACTTAAGTGGTAAATAGTATATGATAAATAATTTTTTATATTTTATACTTAACATTCAATTCAATTATATTGTATGACAAACTATAGCCCGGATCTACAGTATACATTACATAAGTCTGAAAAATTATATTAAAATAAATTTTACCCAATTCTCAATTCAAATGTAAAGTAATATCAAATTCAAAATCAAGAAAATTTACACAAATATGTTATGAAAATAAATTACATGCGATTTGTATCTATAAAAAGTGAATACTTTTAACAAAACTTTTCGTATAAGTTATAAAAGTAATGAGTTGTGACTGATTTTGTTACCAATTGAAAGGGATATGCATTAAACTAAAAGACATTTATTAAATGAATTACATTCGCACCAAATCTAATGCCATTCATATCTCTCTTTGCATACAAATACAGGCATTGAATGAATCAAATGGTGTCCGCAAAGAGACAGAAGTGGTTCGAGAGGCGGACGAACTCTGGTATCACTTCTTGAAATGCGGTGATCGACACAGACTGAAGGAAAACGCCATTTTGAACATCGATTTCCTAATGACTATCGTTAAGGGAAATTCAATCAGTTATTTGCGGAGTATTTTGGATTTGGTTAGGAGTCAGATACTCGACTGGGAGATTGAATTGCTCTATAATATGACCAAACAATCAGTACATGTCGTCTCGCAAGACGCCAATCAATTAGCGATTGAGATACTCCTATGGCTCAAACCATTCACCATAACCACAGCCACCGCCGCCCAAGAGATCAACACTATTAGCCAAATAAACACCGCATCCATACCTATACCGGAGCCATATCTCACGCAATTGGTTAACGACACGTACAACTGGTGTAATAACTTGAAGACACCGATACTCATACCATCCAACTCGTGGCTAAACCTACCGATGCCGCCTCAAGTGGCCATGATCACTTGCTCCTGGAATAGCATTAGCCGAGCCGTGTCTACACCCGACTCCCAGTATTTGATCGCTTGTGAGGCCAAAATGATTCACTTTTATAACTTGCCCTTAAAATCAGTCATCAAATCATTTGAAGGTATTATAAGTTTGTTAACAATTTGCTACTTTTAATGACATTAGTTTTGCCCCAACTTTTGATACTTTGGTTTATATATTTCTCACACCAATTGATTCAATAATTGGTTTTGTTAGGTCTCTGTTATAGAGGCGATCAGACAGATGTTATATTCATATTAGAAAACACAAAATATTCTGTATATTATTTGTTTAATTGGTATTAAATTAATTAGTTTACATCCAATATGTATGCATTTTATATAAATTCGTTGCATTTTAATAACATTTAATTTTTGTTAGCATTCAATTATGTAAATTATAGATTAGTTAATAATTCATAAACTTCTTATTTTTATGTGAAAAATATTTTTTATTAATCATAATAAATATAAAATAAATTTTAAATGCATTGTAAATTAAACTAACTTTTAGATAGTTTGAAAAGTATAACTATAAGCTGATTACTGTTAAATAAAATCACAGAATATAATAATATAATAAATATAAATGTATTTTATGTCACAAAAGCTTATATACCATAATATTCTTATCAAATTCTGGGAAAGAAATTATAGCTATTTTTGGACTATTATAACAATTAATCAAATTTTTGTAGAGAAAAATTGCGAAACAAAACCATAGAATGACTTAATCCTAGAATTTCTTGAATTCCTTTATCTCAAACATTAGGAGAAAGAAAAGAAATAAATTCTTAATGAAAATGCTTTTGACTAATGAAAGGGAGAAATAAAAATCAATGCAAAACTATATGAACGCAACGCTTGAGTAAATAAAAGTACATTTGAAATCATTTTTAAACATAACTTTTACTATATTTAATGTCTTAAGATAATAGATATGTGTGAAACCTATCGCCTTATACTGCATGTAAGGCATACATAAATCCAGACATTTTTCATATAATCTTCACGAAAATGCTTTATTAAATCTAAATGACTTACTATTGTGTGACAAATGTTGGTTATAAATGATATCAAACACTATATTTACATTATATCTGGCTTTTAGTCTTATTGAAGATTTTACCCAAAATATATTTTCGCGTCATTACATGCAATGCAAAGTGATTTTATATACAGAGTATAATAATCACGCATTTTATTATTTATATCCATTTATTATGCTTTTCATATCTTATTTGTTATAGATTTACATAGTTTTATACCATTTATTCCTATTCTCATTACAAGTACTTAATATGAATCAAATTATTCAATAATATTCAGGCCATCGGTCAACGATAACATGCCTTCAATTGTCCGATTCTGGCAAATGGTTGGTTACGGGCAGTGAAGACACTAACGTTAATCTATGGGAAATAGGGTTTGACACAGAGATATCGTGTAAATTAAAACACAGACTAAAGTAAGCAAACAAATAGTATTAAACAATTTCAACCCAAATACACAACTAATTAAAAAATACAATGCATTAAAACCTAATGATATAGTCATCACATCGCGGGAGTGCTGTGTGTTGTGATCACACACTCGGAGGAGATAATACTGAGCGGATCGGAGATCGGGGCCGTCTGTGCCGTGAGTCTGGACTCGGGCACAATCGTGGCCCGACTCGAGCACCACAAGGGTATGATCACGTGTCTGGGCGTCAACAGCGGTGACGATGTGTTTGTCACGGGATCTACCGATTGCTCGGTCGCCGTCTGGAGTCTGGAGACCTTTTGCATACTCAATGAGATCCAACTCAATAAACCTGTCCTTCATATGGATATATCCCTCGACTCCACATTCCTATTGCTCGCCTGCGAAGACAACTCGGTTCACGTCCGGGCGCTCACAACCGGCACTGATGTCCACTGTCTTAAGGGCCACTCGTCCGGCGCTGTCATATCTTATCTGCGGTTTGCCGAAGACAACTGCCGGTGTATTCTGGGCTGCGGTGACGGAAAGCTACACATCTATGACATCCATTCGGCGCGACTCATGCAAACACTGACCGCACACACAGAGATGATCACAGCTATACTCCCGCAGCCCAACGACCGCTTCCTATTCACGTGCGGCGGCAATAAGATTGTGATCTGGAATTTCATGGCCAAGAAAGTGGACAAAGACGTGTTGGCGGCGGCGGCCGCCGCAACGCTCGCGGCCGAGACCGCCGCCCAGAAGGAGAACGAGAAGCCCCGCTCCAGACCCTCGTCCCGGAAGAAGAAGAAAGTGGACAATCATAGAGAGCCGATCACATGTGTAGCCGTTTCCCGTGACGGCGCTCTCGCGGTGACCGGCAGTCGCGACTATTTGGTAAAGATATGGCAGTTGAGTACCGGCGAGACCCACACCACTCTCGAGGGACACACCGGTGCAGTCACTTGCGTTGACTTCGCGCCCAACGGTTTGTTCGCCGTCTCGGGCTCTGAGGACAAGTCTTTGCGCGTTTGGGGACTCACTTTAGGCCTAATTGTGTCGACATTTAACGAACACCAGAATAGTATTGTGACCGTCAAAGTGACCGCAGACTCCCGACGGATCCTATCGGTCGATAGTATGGGCGTTCATAGGCTATGGCAGGCGGACAACGGCTCCCAACTGGTGGTCACAACCAAACCTATTAATAACGTCACACTTCACGCCAATACAGTGTTTGCCGTTTCGGGTAAAAACGATAATAGGTTTGTGTCCACACATGTGATGATCAAAATTTGTTTGATTAATAATTTAAATGTTGTGTTCATTTAGTGTGAGATTTTGGTCATCGTTTGATTGCGATAACGAGAAGACAGTATCGCATTCAGAGCCCATCACGTGCTATACGTGCGCATACGATGGCCAGACAATAATCACCGGCTCTCAGGACATGTCACTCAAAGTATGGGAAGTGACGAGCGCTAAGTTGACGCAAGTGTTGGTCGGCCACGAGGGCAGCATCTCATGCGTGGCCACCGCACCGCTCAACTCGAGTCTAGTGATCAGCGGTTCTCAAGACTGCAATCTGATTGTGTGGGACATGACTACAGGGAGCGAACAGTTCACTCTCTCCGGCCATAACGCGAATGTAATGCAAGTGAAGCTAACGCTGGACGGCTCGTCGGCGGTCTCCGCCTCGGAGGACAACACACTGCAAGTGTGGGACACCAAGTCGTCGGGCTGTCGGCTGGCCATCATTGATATGCACCACAACTTCCAGTCGCTTTCATTCTCACTCAATCTGAACACATTTGTTATACTATTGGCGAACAATCAATTGCTTCCAATCATACGATACCACAACAATCCGGCGAAAGACCTGACGCTAGACCTGCCGCCGGGCACTCCGGCCGGCGACGACAAACTGCCGGCCGCGTGGCGGGGGATTGTGCCCCGCGATGGCCGCCAACGGGTGATGATGAGGGGTAATCTGAAACGGGAGCAGTCGTTCGACTCCTTCTATTGGGACCATCTCTTACATCGGGGACAGAGTGTCGACGATTTCCGCAAAATCTCGGCTCTGTGTCCGCCGGCGGCCACTCAGTCGCCGATGGGCTCCCGCGACAACATATGGGACGGCAGCCCCATATCGGGCGGCGCTCTCACGGCAGCCGAACGCACGCCGCAGATCCGACCGCAGAGAATGATCTCCAAACTGATTGGTCCCAAACAGAAGATGCTTAAGAAGCAACAGTCGATGTTTGCCTGCTTTTCTGAGTTCACGGCTCCGGGCGGGCCCGCCATCATCAAAGCCCAGAGTCCGCTCATCAGCTCACAGATGGCTAACGAGTCATCCAAGTATGTCATGCCTTGGCATACATTTATTGATCACTTTCTTAACACTAATCATACTTTTTGTTTGTTTGGCGTGTGTTTAGCCCTAAACTATCGGCGATGAAATGTCTGCCGCCATCGGTTCGTCCATTTCTGGGACAGGGATTGCAGGGGAGGTCGCGGTCTATGGAGGAAACGGATGCAAACAATTCGACATCGAAAGAGTCGAATCCAAACGAGAGTCTAATTAATGTGAAAGAGTCCGGTGTTTGTATAGTTATGTGATTTTTTATATTCATTTCATATTTCGATTGCATTTTTAGTATCGAAAAGTTTTTTTGGTTTCATTGAATAAGTAAATGCATGTATTTATTGCATTAAATCGATGCAACAGAATCATAATGTAATAATATTACTATAAATATAATTAATAATGATAAAATAAGGACAAAAATAATAATCATGTTAATTATGTAATTGAAATGTAGATAAATATTGAATTTGTATAAATGTATTGAATGTTATATACAGTATTAACTCAAACTCTACGCTATTTTCGCACAAATAATCTTTAATTGTATGACATTTTCTGTATTTGTTTTGCACACAAGACTTGTATCACTGAAAAAAATACAATTTAATTATAATCATTGACACAAACAAAGCTGTTTCTGTGATCGATATGACAAATAATAATAAAAACTGTTTTCAAATGACTTAATCGTTGCAAACAATTCAAATAAAAAGACATTTTTAACGTGTATATAAAACTGTTGGTTATTTCCCTCATAATTAAATGATATTCTCGTTATATGTTTATAATTAGATACCAATAATCGTATGAATAATTCAATTTTAATGCATATTTTATTAGAGGCTTTAATTCCTGAAATAATATAGTATTTCTGCTATAAATATAGTATCAAATCATATGCTATTTCTCACAATTTTTTAATCAAGTTTTTACAAATGTTTTGATTCAGTGAATTATTTTCGTTTTGCTGTTTCAGTAAAATATAAAAACCATATTAAAAATCATATCACATATTATGCTACGAAAGAGATATATTTATAGATATTCATTTGGTAGCATATAATCAATAGTTAGTATCAGAAAGTACTTAATACACATTTAATTAAACAATTATACAACGAGTGAAGTGTTTTCCGCATTTTTTATTAGTTTGAAAACAAAAATATCTAAAATAATAGGAAAACTACTTTATATTAAATAAACTAAAACTAAATATATCTTTAATAGGAAAAAAATACTAAACAAATCTATACTTTATTAGCCGTTTTTGAATCATTCACTTCATATTCAGTGGCTTTGAGTTGCTTTGAGAAGACAAACGCTGTTATCATAACACAAACGTCAAGCACTGGTCCGACAATTGTGGACCGAAGGGATGTATTGACTAAATTCATGACCAAAACAACGGCAGTAATCAAGACATAAGTGAGAGTTAGCTCATAGTTCTCCTTATAGGCGCCTATAATGCCGGCCAATGCTGTGAAGTCCTGCAACAAAACGGTCACAATTGATATAAATCGCCAAATGTGGAGCCGAAGAGCACTTAATCCATACGACTCGCCGCCAATCATCTTTGCCTCCAACCGGAAGTAAACCATCGATGAATACAATACCCATAAAGAGCTCAACAGTAGAAATACACTGAATATTAGCAAAAAGTTTTTAACCACAATAAACCCCACACTTCTGTCGGATTTCATTATTTTCTTCATTTGGATTTCGTATTGACTTTCACTGAAAACCACAAAATTTCTAAATGTATTTTTTAAGCATTTTCTCATTAGACACTTACAAATCAACTTTTATTATTTGTTTATTTTATGGAATCTCTCGTTTAGATTAGATATAATTCATTGAAATATTAACATTTAGACCAATTTGTTCGTAAACATAATGTTTATTATAACAGTAAAGTATAGCGTCTGTTAATGTTATCTAGTATTACTGTATAACATAGTATGCATGGTAAAAATGTGGCATATTTTATCATGGGTGTTTTTGGGAAATACACTCAAACTTGCATTTTACTGTAACTGTACATCTTAAACTTACAGTTATTTTATATCGCTGTATAAAAGTTGAGTTTAAATAAACAGTATATATTCAATAGTATTTATTTTCTGTTTGACAAACTCTCTCTCTCTCTCTCTCTCTCTCTCTCTCTCTCTCTCT